TTGCATAGCTGCGTGCAATTAATCGTAAGTGTTATTCAACCGACCCTAAAGGAACGTTAGTTAACTTTTTCAATAAGATAAGAGCGAACGCCGCTGTGAAGTGGGCACTTCATTAGGCTCACACACGCTGAGCGATGTAAGGCAGCGTGTAAATTCGGCTTCGAAGTTCACACGTGAATAACATCGTCTGAAAGTCATCTTTGATCATCATTAAATATAAAATAAGGGAATTAGTCGTTCGATTTTCGAATTTCTGATTCTGTAATAATATTTTCTGAAGCTCGCAGTTTATAATTATCAGAAATTATCAATTACTCCGCTTTCAAGTTAAAGGGACCCTTAAATTAGGGACAAATATTTTAGAATTGCATTTCTAAAAGATTGAAATTATATTAACGGTGGTTTCATTCATGATGTTGAGAGTCCAATACTATTGTCTGCCTAAATGTCTGCCGTGGAGCAAGAGGAGACAAACTATTGTCAGAAAGCCATTCGCAAACGACTTGATTTCCATGCGAGCAAATTTCTCAGATGCCTTCAAATAGAACTGAACTTCTGCGTTCAGGAAACATTCTGGTGGCGCTTGGATAAACGATCGACTAATCCGAGTTTCTCTAATTCGAAGATAATTATTACGGAATTATTCGTATATTGAAGAAAAACTACATTGGACAGATACACAATGTATAAGTAAACAAGGCAATTAAATTGGGTTGTGGTATCTCAGTCTCTTAGTAAAATAACTGCTGGAGCCTTGTAGGCTGGACCGACCATAATTACCTTACACAAGAGACGGGACCATCGCGTAGCTACGCTATTGTGTGGACGGGTGGATAGCTAGAGGTCAGCATAGCCCAAGTCCACAGTGCGATTCATATACCTTCCCGAGCGTAACGCAGCCGGGCATCTTCACGGCTTTTGACACAAAGCGCCCACCACAACAGCGCAGTTAAGTCACAAGCCGCAGCGCATACAGGCCGGAGCACAACTGGCCGGAGCGCAACAGGCCCTACCGCAACAGCTACTCCTAACGTAACTTAAGCTAACCTAACCTAACCTGCGCCGCCTGTTGCGGTAGGGCCTGTTGCGCTCCGGCCAGTTGGGCTCCGGCGCTGTGAAGCAGTAGCTGTGTTGTGCTCAGCGGATTTACTGTTAGCCGGAGTTACCCACAGCTCATTGATCTGAGGCTATGTGTACATATTGCATGCTGATGGTTGGCGTTAGGCCCAGGGGCTGTTTACGAGTCAATTTTGTTACCCACGGCTGCGCTCCCGTGTGGACTACGTACCTTCCCGAGTTTTTTTTTTCTGAAAGAAAAAATGTCCCAGAATATAGTTACAAATTTGGACGGTAATTTGGTGTCGGAATTTAAAAATATCGTTTCGTGGACTGTGAAATTTAACTAGGTTATATGAATTAAACAAAAAATATAACAGTACTCACTGCAGTGAGTGACAGAGAGCGCATTTTCTCGTCGACGAAAACTTGAGGTCACGGACAGACGGACGGACAGACGGACAGACAGACATGGCGAGCACAATAGTGCATTTTTTCCATAAATGAGAAAATGCGCTAAAAAACATCCCGTAGCGATCCGAGACATGGATGTAACGGTGCGAGATGTAACAACATATTTCACCACTACACGAGAAAACACGGGACATTGTGAACGCCTGAATAAAGGATATCCAAGTTAAACCCCTTGATTATTTATAGGCAGTTGGGTAGAGTATGCAACATTTGGCAGCCCATGAAACTTGGTAGCCAGTTTCGTTAGTATAATTATCTAAACTTGTTAAGGCTCAGCAGAAAGCTAAATTTAATATCCATGAAATGACAAGGCTGTACCTGTATTATCTTGATACTTAGCACACCCATATGTACTTTTAAATTTAAATGTATACTTGAATTTTTAGGTCAGGCAACACACTGATGGCAATAATGACAACACTTGTGGCAACGAAGGAACCACAGGTAGGAATGATGGCAATGTGGCAATGACCAGTTTCGCTGCCATCCTGCTGACTAGCGACAACTAAATGAAATGCTTGGTACATTAGACATCAAACTCTACCATTGAAACAGCTCAATAAATGTCTAATACAGTTATTGTGTAGATTTCTTATAAGGTATTAACTTATGACAAGTTTATGACGTCGTTGTCCTCTGTCATGCTGATGCGCCGCCTTCGTCGTCCTCGGTCTCCAAGCCGTCGCTAGGCAGGTCGCCCCGCCCTCGGGTCCCCGAGGTTACGTTGAACGTAATGAACTGGTGTGTCACGTAAAATGAAGGTAAATTCCCGGAAATAATAAACCATTTCCTTTGTCCGATGCATCTCATCTCGGCATCGTCCAAGAATTTCATTACGTGAAAAATAATGAGTCTATTTCCACATTTCGCAAGATTTCCACATGCCTCCAAATATCTCGGTTTTCATCTCCAATCGCTTTTATTATCGTTTCTTCTCTGATAGGATACAAACGAGACGCGGACACTTGTTGCATAGCCATATTATTCAAGATCAAGATCTAATTTTACTCACCAAATCGCCTCTTAAAGGATTTCCTGCAGTCACACACGGCCTTAAATCAAACCTACGCAGCAAGCGAAATTCGTGATTGAATATTTCAGCTTGGGCGTCGAAGTGGTAAATTTTTCACCGTAATCCTGACTTCTGGCAGCGACTCGGATTTTCTGCAGAATTGATGAGGCAATATTTCACGTGGGTAACGAACGATCTTTACGCGGCATTGGCGAAAAAATGGTAAACAACAAATGACTTAACACTTATCGTCATCATAACTCAATACGTGACTTTGCAGTTCCTTTCTCAACGTTTGAATCTCTTATAAGAATTTTCGTTAGTAAGAAAAGTCGCCTCAGAATAATTGATTCATTGACACTTTACATCAAAAATTTCATTGTCATGATAATTTTTATGTGGAGCATGTTTGAAACATCAAAGAAAAGCATTATATGCTAAAAAGTAGTAGTACATATATCTAAGGTAAATGCGAGAGTAAACACGATTAAAAAAAACTACGTATCCTGTAAACCGCCAGTTTTTACATATTTCTCCTTTTTTCCACTCTACATATTTTTATACTTCAACACCTGGCAACTGTACAGACTTCAATACGAGCTCCGACTTATATTGCTTGAAGAATAAGCTCCTCTATCCAACACAGTCGTCACTCCTCAGAGGCTTACGTCGCTCATTACCCTTCGTAATTCAGGCCTGCTCAGCTCGGGATGCCGCTCAGTCGGAGCAAGGATCCAAAGCACGCAAATAGTGACCGAGCTCAGAACAGCAACTGAAATGGCAAGCCTGGATTTCCCTTACATGAATACTGAGTGGATTCAGCTCATCAATCTGGCAAGCAAACAGATTATTTGCCTACGGATTTCTCATCGTGCAATGTACGGCAATTCGCAGAGTTATTTTAGCAATAAATATCCTCGTGATCTTAATAAATAGAGTTTTGCCTTAGGCTCCTATAATGTATTGTTACCATTGAAAGTCTCTGTGTGTAGAAAACCTGGCGCTGTTAAAATAAGGGATATTCGATCGCGGCTCCACAATAACTACCGAAGCGGAATATTGCCTGGACTTGATATTGTATTATAATACATCCTACCAGTTCAAACAGTTAGCGAGCAAAACGGTATAAAACTCAAAGAACAATAAAGGCCGAATTTCTCTACCCAATAATCTTGGGCTTCAACTAAGAACTTGAAAGCAAAGGAAACTCCACAAAAATTCATACTATCTTTAAAGATAACGTTTCGGAGTCCAGCCTAATCGTCAGTTTGAAAACTCTAGAACACAGATAAATCAGTAATTAGTACAGTCAAAATTGCAAAAAAAAAACTAAGTGGTAAACCTATCTATTTACAATTTCAAGCGGGTAAGAGCTAAATGTTAAATTTAAACTTTGCCTCTGCTTAAAAATATACAAAGATTCTAAAATGCGCAAATCAGAAACATCGGAAGTGGAAGCTAAAACTTTGAAGTCACTATCGGAAATTGGAACATTGGAAATTAGATGTTCCAATTTCTGAGTGACTTCAAGGTTTTAGCTTCCACTTCCGGTGGTTCTGATTTGCGCATTTTAAAATCTTTGTATAATTTCAAACAGAGGCCAGGTTTAAATTTAGCTTGTAGCTCTTACCCGCTTGAAATTGGAAATAGATAGGTTTTACCACTTAGGTTTTTTCTGTAATATCGACTGTACTAATCACTGATTTATCTGTGTTCTAGAATTTTTAAACTGACGATGGAGCTGGACTCTGAAAAGTTTTCTTTAAATATGGTATATGGTATATGATATATGGTAAGATAGTATGAATTTTTGTGGACTTTTCTTTGCTTTCAAGTTTTTAGTGAATTTGCGTTTCAAGCAAACGAGTGACATTATTTCTAAGGCTTTTACATGAACCAATTTAAATAGGAATAAGTCTAACATTATAAACTCGTCTGTCTGCACATCAGGCCAGAGATCTCAGTACGTTCCCCTGCCAATACCACACCAATCTTAGTCTCATCAATCTCTAGACCGGATTTACTAAAGTTTAAAATTAAAAACCGAAGCGCTCCCGGACGTGAATTTTTCGCTCATTTCTGGATCTCAACTCCCTTGAAACTCTCGCCGCTACCGTAATTTTTGTCTGTCAAATCGGATCGGTTGCGAATTTTGCGTCGTCCAGCAGTCCAGCGGATGAAGAATTTCCAGCATTTGCTCTTCCAAGCAGAATGAAGCTTTGATAACATTTTAGAAGCAGAATTAAGATTCATTAGTCATCTATATCAGAACTTTTAAATAAAAGCGTTTCTGATGGCGCTAGCAACAGTACGGTCGTTCGTCCAAATAACACGTTCAGAGAATTACAATGCAGGATGCAGGAGGAGGACGCAGACAAGGGAGGTTTTCTCAAACGCAACAAAGAAAAACATCATTCAAATGTGCTTATTTATGTCTAAGGCAAAAAAATACACCACATGTTCGTAAAGAAATATTTATTCCACATCGTTAATAAAAACTCTTGGCGACAATGTAAAAGCACTAATAGTGAGAAGACGATATCAATGCAATACTTTAAAAACCTCGATACACTCCTTAAGCGTAGCAGCAGAGAACAAAATGTTCATGATACTCACACTCACGGTCGTCCCTAAGAATCAATAGGAATATTGAGAAAAACCACATATCTTTACTTCGTCGGTTGCCGCGAATATCGATAACAATTCGTGAACATTTGAATAACAATGGCATTCCCAAACTATTCATAGTTTCAAACATCCATCGCGTGGCAAGACCAAATAGACACAAATTGTTTCATCTGAAAGAAATCATGAAGTGAGCGCCCAAAGCCGCGCTCATTAACCATATTATAGATTCACGGAATCTTTCCGGTGAAAAGCATGATACGTTGAAGAATAGAAAATTACCAATAGATGAATACATGTGTGAAAGAATCACAGGCTTTACCAAACTAAATTCTTTAACGCACTACCTGCAGCAACATGGATAGGTCATCAGAAGCCGAGTCTAGAGAAGGTTAAAATGGAGCAAGTCTCAGCTAATATTGACTGAAGGACATGCGCAAGCTAATCTTGTCTAACAATAGAGGCAATAGAAAGGATTCTTGACAGCCTCTCGGTCTCAAATAGATACACTAACAAATTATGTCGATCATATCCCACTAAATTTTACAATAAATCTTTTTGAAGCAAAATCTCAATTATAGGGAGGTTTAACCAATATTAACGACATTCACAACCCACAAAGACATGGTTCATTTAGAAGACTTCATTACGAACATAATTATTGCGGTCGCTGGGCATTCCAAAAAACCAATGTGTGGCGCTTATGATAAAAAATTAGTAACACTGAAGGCTTACGTATAAACTTTTTGTAGATGGGCTCCAGACGCATAAAATTTATTCCATACTGATTATATATAAACGATGGCCCAATTTAAAATTGCACGGACGTAGATCGATTTCAAATTTTTCAAAAACAGAAAGCCCTGAACTTCCTAGGCAAACTTCACAGGAACAAACCAATTCATAACAAGAAATGAGGAATAGTCAGAGGAAAGATGGCATCCATTTTAAGCATCAGAGTTTACCTACTGCGTTCATCTTTACTAATCCTCTCTTACGCCCCAGACACTTCACTGTTGAGTTTTTTCACTACTAAAGTATTCCATCATTACTTACGAGGTCCACTTCATCATTGAAGAGCCACCAATCAGGATTAATGCCATAGGAAATAATTCATGAACATAGCAATTAAATGTTAAGCCGCTGTCAAAAATTGAAGATACACGACTATACCAGGAGCGCATTACATTCGAACACAGAATGCAGAGAAACGAGGCGTTAAAATAGAAGCAACGGCAAGCCAAGCGAGAAAAACTGAAGCTGAAACTGAAAAACAATGTTTCGCTTTGCGTCCAAAACGGACCCATGAATATGATTCAGAGAGAAGAAACTTACTCATATGCTAGCCACGCTCAATGACAACAGGATACGAGACAGACCCATGAAAGCGGAGTACAAAACTATGGCTAAACCAATCATCAAGGTAAAGAACAAACATAGAAAAATACTGCGTAAATACTGAGTGCCACTGCAGTATTTACCGACCAGTTCAGTATTCTACCTGACTCTGCTTCACATGATTTTTTAGACTAAATTCGGCAGACAAAGGACGACGCACGTTTCAAGACCCAGTAACAAAGGTAAAGAGTCTTTGTTTGGTCGTAAGATTTAAGATTCGATAAGTATTTATAATGCCTGATTGATTAGATAAGTCAGTCTTATACAGAACACGCATACAATCAAGGACGCAGGAAACCACAACATTTACGTTTCCAAACCGTTTCCAAATAAAGTCAGAGTTATGAATCCAACTTTCACTAACAAATAATCACAAATGATGGAAACATGAACGAGGAACCTGATCTACGGCGTGTACATACAAGACCATGGTCAAGTTCCTGCCAAGAAATATCTGGATACAGATGGAAACGTTATACGCTATATTTCCTCAGCCTGAAGAATTAATATTACTCAGATCTTTCGACACTTTACAGCTGCACGGTTATAAAAACACAGACGTTCAACCCGATCTCAGCAGCTATTAAAAATATATCACGAGCAGCATAAAATGACTCGACCAAAGCACTGAAGCTCAGTCTACATGGTGAACAGCACTTCGATAATACTAGTCCTTGAAAAGTAAGGAATAAGTTGCATGTTACATTCAGTTAAACAACATACATTATAATTATATAATGAATCATACACAACGTGTAAAAGCTCAAGGGTACTTAGAACGTGAGTATTTTTAAATGTACGACATGTACGACACAACAAGCTAACATTCCTTGTGTTGAACTAATGCAAGCCCTCCAACGAAGACATGGTAGCTCACATTTCAAGCGTTTCCTAGTGCAGTAACAGAATATACTCAATTAAAAACAAGTACGTATGAATTGAAGATTCTCAAAACTAGTTCAAAAAATATGCAAACAGAAATTTCAAAAGAAACTAATGCTTTAACGGTATGAAAAATGAATGAAAATAAAAATGTCACATCAGAAGTTTGGGCGGTGGTGGATAAGGCTACCAGAACAATTTGTAGCAACCTAAGTATTCGCTCATTTTTTCCGAGATCCAGAAATATACTACTGCTGATTTCACGCCTAATAGCACAAGATTTAATAACTAAATTTAAATTGACTCGTTCATACAATGAATATCAGTTTCATGTATACATCATCTCCGCCATGAACGACATCTTCTTTGGGAAATATAAAAAATTGTCCATGTAGGCTGCAAGTTCCTCCAGAGTTGTATCTTCAAACTGCGGTCCCCTTGCTTCTTCTGAGCAGGACCGAGACTTGTGGCGGCCTGAGAGCGACCTGCGTAGACCGGAATGCAGAGCGCAACACTTACGTCCAGGACCACGAAGCGGCAACTGTTGGCAACAGCTGCACTTGGTGCAACATATGGGACGAGTGACGCGACTGACAGGTCCAGGCTGAAATCGTTTATCATCGGAACATTGTCTACTTGAAGCTTCACCAAGCCTACTATGTCGGCCACTGCTTCGCTGATCACTTGCTTCACTTAGACGCGGCTCGCAAATAGTCAGGCTGGTTAAGTTTGGTAAATCCGAATCAGGTAGAAATTTTTTTTTACATCTTCTTAGCTTGTTCAGTGAACGACAGCTTTTGGGGTCACCTCGGTATCTTGTGCCATGATGGGAAAAAGATGCAGAGTTGCATGATGGGTGTTCAGTGCCGCGAGAAGACTTTCCATCTTGTCTTGAAGCGGCGCTAATATTGAATTGAGAAAAACTCGTAGAAGTTGAAGCATCGAGATCACCAAATAACTTTTTCTTTACAGACAAGTCATTCAAATTTCCGACCGGTGAAGGAGAGAATGCAACTGTGTTTTTAGTTTTGGCAATGCTGGGGAGGTAAGAACTTTCAGTGCAGGAGTTTTTTACAAGTTGAGAAGATTGATCGGAATTTTGAACTTGAAGAATCTCTGCAGATCCAGGTACAGGTTTCCCTACACAGAACTGTTGACTCAAAAACGTCAATTTACTTTTCTTTAACACAGGCTTCTTCTTGGCAAGCGACAGGCTGGAAAATGAGAGGCCATCCAAAGGATCAGGACGTACTCTGTAACTTCTAAAATGACTCTCAGATTTTCTTTTTGGAGGGAATGTGTTGCTATTTGGTTGCGAGCTTTCCAGGAAACGAACTTTCTTAGGAGTTTTGGCTTTAGCATTAGGGAGAGCAAAAACACATGACGGTCGGAATGGGTTTGAGACTAACTTCTGTTTTTGTAAAATAGGCGAATAAACACCACGCGATTTTCTTGGGCTGTCTCCCACTTCCCTGTCATAGCCATGATAGGAAGGTTGAATACTTCCCACAGCATCCGAGCACAGCAACGAGTCAGCAATTCTTGGTGATATGAGATGCAAAGACATCGGAGATTCGTAGTCTGTAGGCCAGGATGTTGACAACAAAGGGCTACTCTGCTGAGGAGGTGCAGAGCTTGGACGCTCGGGAGGCAGCAACTCGTGTCCATGAGACAGCCATGACGACGGTGAGCAGGACAATGAATGAACTGATGATGGTAACTGCAGAAAGTCTGGACTCAAGGCCTCTTGTGATCTAGGAATTGCTACTGACAATGAAGGAAGTTCATAACTCGGTGCTGGGGATTTGATGGAAACTTGGGGTAGCTGTGATACACAAGAACTTGATAATAATAATTCTAAGCCTGAAGTAGATTGGCTAAAATTGGCATATTCTGATGTTGCAGCAGCATGCAACTGATCTCGAAATGGCGAGTTGAGACGAGTGCAAGGTTCCTCCACAGGATATCCAGAGTAACATTCATTAGGCAAAAAAGCTTGTGTAGGTAAACTTACACCCTGTTCCTCCGAATCCTCAGTGGATGTGAAATTTGTACATGGAGAAGGAGATGGAGCCGGTGGGGGTGGAGTCTCTGAATTGTCTGAAGACGTGCTTGTCTTGGTAGCTCCACAGTTGAGCTTGAGTAGTGCAGCAGTCAAACTGCCACTCAGGGCATCTTCAACTGAACATGGATGAGCTGACTCCATTTTATCACAATAAATGCAGTCACACCTGCACAGAAATGTTGCCAATCAATTTTTCAAATATACAATAAAAATGTTGCAAAAAATTATAATATACAATATACATACATATATTTGTTAATTTTATTTATTTTCTATCTACAAATTATATATTCCTTGAACAAAAATCCTCAAAGCTAGTTACAAATTACAAATTCACACAGAAAGGAATAAAAACTGGTTGTCAAAAAAATTTTCTTGTGCTTTTGAAAATTATCAAATTGATACTCCAGTTCATGTGCATTCATTCATCAAAATATTTTCATCATTAATTGGAATGTTACATAGTCAGAATTTTAAATTAGTAGGCATGCCAACAAATGAGGGCATTTAATACAAAGTATATTAAGTTTAGTACATTAAAAGTAGATGTAGGAATATGACCTACAAATCTAGAGTGTAAAGTCACTGATCCTGCTACTGTTGATTCATGAAAAAACTTCAGCAAACATTACAAAAAATATAACTCAGTACTACTCACAGCAGTGAGTGACAGAGAGCGCATTTTCTCATCGACGAAAACTTGAGGTCACGGACGGACGGACAGACAGACGGACATGGCAAGCACAATAGTGCATTTTTCCATAAATGAGAAAATGCCCTAAAAATGATACTTTGACTTCGAAGCATAATCCAAATTAACCTGAATTTTTAGACATGTTACTCCTACAACCACTTTGGTACACAAGTGTTCATACTGCAGACCAATTACAAGCAACAAACACAGAATGAAAACCTGAATTAAGTAGATAAAATTATAGGTTTAAATAATATTGATAATGATTTAACCTGCAATAGAAGATCATCATGTGATCATAGCCACTAAACCTGAAAGCTGTAGATAATATAGATTGTACAGTTCTCTTTCATTGATGTCTGAAGAAAAAACCAGTTGTCTTGTTTTGAAGAAAAAAAAATCAAAAGTATGGCCATAATAATCCAGTCACGGCTTGTGTCAGTTAATCTTACTTAGGTAAATAAACATTTTACAAAAATCTTTTTCACTGTCACTTGGCCCCAATTTTATCTGCCCTATGGCATAATTTTCTAAAAATTTCCATGCATATGGCCCATCATCCAGCCTATGAATTACAAGCAGGGTGAAATTTTAGGTATAATATTCATATATTCAATATTGATCAAATTAGGTACAAAAATGTCAGCTAACTAGCTAATAGACAAATAAAGGCTCAGGCTACTGAGAATGACTGCAAGAGGTTTTTTTTCTAAATTGTATTGGCAGTTTGAGTTGTTGCTCTAAGTCTCTAACTCCTGCAGGGTAGCAGTAACTTAGAAGCCACTCAAGGAATTAATGCTCCCCTATTTCTGGATCAATGTTACTGAAGCTAAGTTAAGCATTGATATTACTGTGAATCTTTCCTTTCAGTGCTCTGCATCTCAATATTTCATTATTATATACTATCATATACATTTCATTTTTAATGGTCATTTTTAATGGCACTGCAGTATTCAAGTCAGGGATTGTTTTGGTTAGATACAGCAATTCAACTTGGCAAGCCACTTGGCAGTTACCACTTGCAATACAGTCTACGGGTTGATGAGTGATCACATCATCACATTGACAGGCTAAACTGGAAAATTCAAGCCAACCAGAAATAAGAAAAACACCCATACTTGTAGTCAATTTTTCCCATTCCAATGACCCTTGACTAATTTTTAGTGCATTTTCTCACTTATGGAAAAAAAGGTGCTATTGTGCTTGTCATGTCCATCTGTCCATGATGTCCGTGATGGAAATGCGCTCTCTGTCAGACTGTCACTCACTGCACTGACTGCAGTGAGTACTGATCTAATTTTTTCCAATAGTAGAAACTAGAAATGAAAAACAACAGAACATTTCTGACTAAGACTTTAAAAATTACCATGAAAGAATTGCTTTAATCTGCAACTTTTAGAAAAATTCTGCACATTATTTCAGATTGGATTAAAGATAGTTGTGTCGTAATCATTAATAAAATTTCAGCCTGGACACTTGTGCTGTTGTGCATCAGTTCAATTCAGTTGTGATCAATGTGATGCACAACTGCACAAGTGCAGTTGAGATTACATTGGAATTGGATGATTGGTTGGCAAATGCCAATCTTTTAGTTCATTGATAATTATATATTTTACCAATTAATATAATCATTACCGGTATATATTCATTATAATCAATATTTTATTAATTAGTGATATTTACATATAAAGTCATAGACTTTCAATTTTATTCCTTCCAAGTCCTAGATAGGTACATTTTGATTTTGATATTAATTTCAAGAAAAAAAAAAATTTTACATACATAAAAGCCTAAATTTATTGCCAGTTTCAAGTCAAAATTACTCCCTCTAAGCCTATAGCATATTATCACTAACTCAAAAATTACAAAATGAATCCACACCTTGAGGCTTGAATTTTCCAAATTCCATGCCTATATTAGGCTACCTGCATGACTAACTCCACTGCAAATGACTGCATCGTTTTAGAACAAACAGGCTAAATTTGAATACTTTAAGCTGTCCTATAAGTATAATATTGAATACCTAGGCTATTACATATTGCACGATGTCAAAAACTTTTTCATAGAAAATATTTACTGGGTCAAGACTCCAGATTGTGACTATTCTCAGATTCTGTGAAGTTGTGAACCCAGATTTCAGACAGACGACACTTCGACAGCCGTCATTTGTCATACCATGATGAAATCAAGAATGCTTGTTTATTTGTAAATTATACTGCTCACCTTACTGAGGAATGTAACAGACACCTCTCCTCAGCAGATGAAGTTGTATTATTTCATGCCGCGGGCCTTCATACACGTCCATCAAGGAACTGACAAGAGTTAACTGTACAATCTGTCTTCATTCTTCAGGCATCAACTTCCTTGAACATGAATCTCCGTTATATGACGAGTAACAATGCCATGACGAGTTGACGAATTTCTACGACCTATCAACAGAAACTTCATTTTTTTTTCAATCTTGAAACGGGATAATTACGGCAACAAAATCATTCTTAAACTCTAATCAATCAATTAAATTCAAATTTCTCGATTCCTAAACCTCATTGGTTTATAACATGTTTCATTTATTTACGGTTTTGCTTTTGGCTTTTCGGCTTTTCTTTCACGGAAGGAAGACTCATTTAATTTGGCTCCTATCACATTACCTACATATCGAATTATTACTTTTTATAAATTCGCAATATATTTTAAATTTACATATCAAATTATCTATTATCTCAAACATATTTTGAATCACATTTTTCACGGATCTACATTTTGCCCTATCAGAAGAGATTTTAGTATCGCGTGGTTAAGTTCTAGCAAGAATTTCTAATTAAATACATAAAAGCAATGTTATTATTATTCATGATGGTGGTGATTTGCAAAATGCTACTATAGAATCTGATGCTTGACTACTCGATACTCATATGCTTACTACTAATGTCACGCGACAGCCTTCTATGTGGAACCTGAGCATATCTCAGTTTATGTACATAAGTACATAAACAATCTTTATTGTTTGATGTTCTAAAGCATTTACTACTACTCAACACAATACACTTTTTAAACATTTTACAACAGATGCCCAGTGGTTAAAGTTCAGAGTAGCAAGATTGGCGCAGAGAGGCCCGGGTTCGATCCCAGCTCTGTGCGCCAGTTTCTGGTCAGAATCGGCGAGGAGGCCGGGCGGTTTATCACAGCAGAATTGTAGCAGTGAGTTGCGAGTTCGGGACCACAACAAGCTGTGAATGTTCTGCGATGTTAAGAATCGGCGACAGGCCTACGGCCTAATAAACGCTGAAAAGGCTATCATCATTATTAATATGGCACTCACATGGTCCCATATGCGCATTTTCAAGCTTAAGCAGTAAAGTTACTCAATTGCTAATGATTAGCGCATCAAGTAAAATAAATGCTACAAATTCCACACATTAGTGGCCAATATGCAGTACTGGTTAGGGAGCGCAGCCGTGCACCGCCAATTTTGCGCACCAATCTGAATGGAACGACTATCAATCATATAAAATGACCACCAATCAGCCGCGATTTAAGCTTGACGTCAGTAATCAGCACATGCCATCATCTTGCTTTAAATATCAAGAGCTTTGCACCACCATATTCTGAAGCGAATTGGAATAGCCCAGAGTGTAATGATCGTTTACCACTGAACGTTTCATCGAAACATCACTTCATACCCTGACTGTATCTCGAACTGTAACCAGCGAAAAACGGACTGCCACCAATCAGCCCAGCTCGTCAGGGTAACTGCATTAAACCTACCGTGCACAACCAGACCGCAGATCGAATGACTTCTGCGGTATCCTTCTATTACGTAATGTTTCGTTCACAGCATCTCAATAACAGCGGTTTCAGCGTTTATTGGGCCGAAGGCCTTTCGCAGACTCTTAACATCGCAGAACATTTACTGCTTGTTGCGGTCTCGAACACTCGACTCACTGCCTCAATTTTATTTTGTCTAACTGCCCGGAATCCTTGCCAAATTCTGACCATAAGCGCGCACAGAGCTGGGATCGAACCCGCACCTCTCTGCTCCAATCCTGGTACTTTGAACTGTAAACACTGGTCCATCCTGATGGCATAATTTTGTTCCGAGATCTACAGTTCTTCGACGAGTTGGTTGGTTGGTTGGTTCAGTGGCCACATGGTTACTAGCGCTTCAGCTATCTCGCACCGAAAGTCATAATGAACATCACCAAAGAGGTGGAAGGTCTCAATTTTCAAGTTTCTCAAACCAAAAATTGTTCATCACCCACGAGGGGTGGTAGGTCTCAGATGTCCAGCCCGCTGAAGCTGGCTCGAAAGAAGAAGCGTTAGCATCTCAAAGAGACGAAGTGACAAGGAGGGACAGGTGAAAAGCAACAGAAACGAAGACACTCGAACAAGAGGTCGCTTACACGGGACGTCGGCCACCCGCACGAGAGAGAAAGAGAAGGGGAATGCAAGGAATTCTACCTACGTAATAACTTAACCCCGCAACTGTGACCTGCAGTCAGACACCGCAAGCTCAGCAGTGGGGCGCTCAGGAACAACCCCCCTAGGAGCGCAAAATCCCATAGGACTTCTGACGCGCACAGACACGCGTCAGAAGTCCCCCCTGAGGGGGAGTTCTTCGACGAGTGGACCGATTCGATGAACGGGCATGATACAAAAGGGTTGGTGGCGGGCATTAGGGTATATTCACTGCAAAGCTCCGGCGCGCTCTGTAAGAGTGGTGTAGAATTTTTTCGCGTATTGTCGGACGATGCTGGGCCATACTACGTCAGGCTACCTTCCAGTGGGCTGATTGATCTACTTCAATGGATGCGATCTGTCTGGTGGCTTGCGGCTGACAATGCTACAGTCCAGAAGTGTTATAGGCTACGTTCTTGAAGGAAGGGATCATGATAGTCCATCCAAAACACGGCAGCGGTGTTCTCAGACAAGCGTCCCAGTAGTGATGCCTGGCGGCATGATCGGGAACCAGAATTCTAAAGAAATTAACAAGTTTGGGGAACCCAATACTAAAAAAGTTGTTTTTACAGTTCACCGTTTCTCTGACATAGTTCAATAATTAATGTTGTTGTTAAGAACCAGTTATAAATCCTAATTTAAATCTAATTGCATGAGCCAGCTTATTTTAGGACATTTTCCATCAAATCACAAAATGCGTCCTACTACGAATGGATGTTACTGACGTCTGCTAGAGAAATATTTTAGCATCATTTTACTTTTAAAATGTAATATAATATTTGGGCCCAGACTGCAAGCGTAGCATTTTTGGCCTGAGCCCCCATCCTTTCTGGGGATTCAACTGATAACTTATTAATTTGAGTCAACCAGAAACTTCACTTGTAGAACATTGTGGATTCAAAAGGCTTCCACACGACCTGCGATGGAAGTCCTCTATATGCCGCCCAGATTCAACAATCTCCAAGCCACTCAACAACGTACAGCCGATATTTGCAACAGCTCCAATAGCGAGAAAAAAATAAAGACATCCGTCAACCAAAGGCACCGTGCAAGACACCCACGGACCGCACGACAGCGCATCAAAGCACCACACACTGCACTTACGATCAGCCTCACATCGCGGCTTTGTTACGAGAAAGTGGGCACTTCATAATACATATTCATTTACACGAAAATGCGATAATGAATTTCTGTACAAAATTTAATTGCGAAAGAAGACTTTCAATATACGCATCCGCTCAAGTACAGTGAAAGGCTCTAGCGTCCTAATTAGAAAGTTCGTACACTTTTATCCGTTAGATGTGAACCTTTAAAGTTAGAAGAACTCATTTATGGGAAAGATTGCATTTTGTCAAGTCCTCAAATTCGAAGACGAACGTGATTGAGATATTACACCTGGGCATAAGCAGATAAATTTGACTGGCAAATTACAAGGACATCAGAAAAAAAAATAATAAAATAAAAGTTATGATCACAAATTTACTCATTTCTGGCATACAAAGAAAGATTCGTGTCTTCAGATAGATCTTGACCAAAGGGAATAATATTTGATACTTCTACAAACTTCCTCTTATTAAATAAAAACAGAGGGATCTTTTCTTGGCAATCATCGATATTACCTATGACACAAATGCTCTATTAAATTAACCAAATCATTATTTCTACTTAAGAAATGAAGCAAGCCCGAGCATGTAACTTTCTAAATGTGTGGCCATAGCCTTTATTTTTAGGTAGTATTTTTTATCCTCACAACGTTGATGAAAACCAAAACATTCTTCTTCATAAAGGAGCCTCATTCCGCTCGTTGGTAAAATCTTCATGCGTTGACCAAAGAATTCTTCATGAGATTATTAATGTCCATACCTGCAAAAATATAAATACTCTTATTTATACGAACTAGCAAAGAAGAAACAATTGAAGACAAGAATACAAACATCGATTATTTGGCTATTTTCCTATTTTATTTCCAGAATGACCTGTCATGGCAACTTGCACATATCTCCTAAAACACTACATACATTTTCAATCAAACGTTCTCACGTGAAGGCAACATCCACAAAATTATAAAGTTTTCATCAAAGTAGCACGGTCAATCAAAATTTTTCTAACAATCTTAAAGTTACCTCTTTCTTATCCATTTCATTGTTCAAAATTTGAACTTTTCTCGTGCTTTAAATCAATACACATAATTTGCGTATCATCTAGCAGTATTGATGAGTGTTGATTTGACAAAATAAGTCACAAATTAACACTGAGAAATCATCAATACTGTCCAAATAGTGACTCATTTTTGGCTTGAAGCAATGACATGGCCTTCTGACTAGCAAAACTGGCTCAAGAAGACTCACACAAGGGTAAAGAAGAAATGGACAAGGTATTTGGACAAAGCCTCACTCATTACTCTAGATGAATTGACCTGCAAGAACTAAAATATATAAATAAATCATTTACTAAATCTTTAAAACAAGGAAAGATATAAATAAGATACGCACTTCTGGAACTCCCATTCCCTGTTGTCCAGTGGGCAGACCTGACGTGTCTTAAGCCAGCGAGAGATGCAGTGGAAGTGGAAAGCATGCTGCAAATGAAAACAAATTAAGTGTACACAGTGACAGGTAAGCTGCATCTAGTAAAGACTTTAGAAACAAATTTTCATTCTATGGTAATGGGATATATATTTATATATCTTTCAATAATTTCTCGAATTAAACACATCAAAATATTCAAAATGTCCACATTAAGTTTATAAACAGTATCTTGACATATGAAAAATACTCATGATATATGCTCATGTTAAAGAAAAACATTAAATAATGCGAGAGTTGTGATACATGAAATATAAGAAATAGTTTACAGCTGAGACTGACATTGCAGACGCCCCAAGCCACTGTACACTCCTCTGATGTGGCAGAAGCCTGGTTTGCCTGACACTCAATGCACAGATCCATGATGTGGTTGCGGCAAATGGCACAGTTGTCAACCACTATGTCTGTATGGAAGGGAACAGCCCATGATCAAAGGAAAAACATGAGCAATGCAGGAAGTAAAGAAAGTTTTTATCACACAAGCATTTCAGGAAAAAATTTGAAATTTCTCATTTTCACATTGTTGAACTGATGAAAAATTACAAAAATTTTAATCATGGAACTATTGTGTCACAGTTAACCTTAATTGCAATAACAAAAATTAATTGATGAGACTTTCAGGCACTGAATCTATGCCATAAGTCAAAGTCACAAAAGCTGTTTAGTTAGTCATACAAATTAAAATCCATGTATTCCAACCATTTCTACAAATAAACCTCAAATAGAACAACTGGAACATTACAATTCACAAAGAGTCAAGAATACACAAGTAGCACTTCGATAATTGAAGAACACTTTTAATATAACAAGCTGTTTAACTTATTTCAGAGAAATATCTGTAGAAATGAATCCAGGCCTCCATTTCACTGAAAATAACTTAGCCCTTAGACAATCAAGACCACTGCTCTAACTAGGCAATTTTTCTAGGACAGAAATAACTCAATACATCAAATGAGCCAGAATAATAGAGCAAACTGAATTGCTAGAATTTTGTAATGATAATTCAATTGTTGATTTACTCACCCCAAGCCCACAGTGCAACAGCAATCCACTGAAATTTAAAGAAATATACTTAAAATCACATAAACCTATAAATATTTATAACACCATTCTATGATCATGTGTACATCCATTTCTAGACAAAACTTTGAAAATTTTAAAATTTGATACATCAGAATTTTAAATGGATCAGAAGTTGATTTAACAATAAGAAGTTTTAGAAATATACTTGCCTTTTTCACTTCAAATCTCTTCTTATCTCCCTTTGAAGTGCTTGAGGAAGGAACTTCTACTTCGTCATCATTTGTGTCAACATCCATTGGGAGTACTGACATGGCGCACAGTATTATTAAACAAATATAATGAAATTTTCACTGTAAATGAAATAAATTCAAATTAATTCAACCTCCACATTTTCAAACAATTCGTTAAAAAATGTAATTTGATAATGGATCAACATCAATGACACCCAGGTTGGTTATGAAATATTTTAAGGGCATAATAAATTATTCAGCTAATGATATATTCATATTATATAGGTAATGTCTTAGGATTTACCAGTCACTATAGGTACTGCAAATGCCAGATATAGCACCTAACATACCTACCAAGTGTCAATACAAACCATATAATACCAGTAAGAATTACAAAATAAAAAACAGATCTGTTATAAGGGGCCATTTTACTTCAAAATTTAATAAAAGAAATGGTTTCATAAATGATTTTCAAGAAATGTTGACATAAGTGTGCCCTTTTTACTTTCTTTTGAGTAATATCAGTCAAGGGCCAGACAAACAAGTAAAAATTATTGCAAGCATGGGAATTTATGTCTTGTCCATACTTCATAGTGGCTTATGCCAAATTCTCCTAATGGAGACCCAAGTCACCCAACTTAAACAACCCAAATTGGCATCAGACTAGAAAATTTGGCAGAAGTCATCCATAAAGACATACATAAATATCTCTAATCAAGATCAATTCCATGTAATCCCACGGTGACAAAATACAGATTTTTTATACTCGGTTCATTTTTTATTTTCTCATTCCTAAAGATATACACCAATTTCTTATGTATGACAATGCTGCTAACTGCTAAGTGTAAGTGCTACCACTAGCCTACCAGTCCCAGGTAGCCTGGTATCAAGGTATCCATGATGATGATACTTACTTTTCAAAAATTACAAATGAATCTATTCTATACATATAATAACAATCAAACTATTAACAAGTTAGATTCATCATTCATGGTGGCAAACATTAAAAATGACACATTTTAGAAACAATTTACTTTCAATTCCTGCAAAGAGATTTCATCCAATATCTAAAGTATATAGCAGTTCCAGGGTTCAGCATTTATTAGGCTGTAGGCCTATTGCCAATTCATAACATTGCAGAACATTCACAGCATTTTGCGGTCTCAAACACACAACTCACTGCTAGTGACTGTGTGCTACAATTCTTGAATTCTGCTGTGCCTAACCGCCCAGCCTGGCCTCCTTACCGATACTGACCAGAAACTGGCACACAGAGCTGGGATCAGACCCGCACCTCTCTGCAGTCTGCATCCTGTGACAATCCTGGTACTCTGAACTGTAACCAATGGGCCACCAGAGAGAATTGAGAGCAGATCTTCCAGGTCATTTGGGGGAAAGGAATTGTCCTTGTAATCACACTATGCTCTCAGTTCTTGCATGTACATTTATGACAATTGACAATACTGAATGCTAGTAATGTTATCAATATTTCATTGCTCTCACCTCTCTCCTCTCAGACCTCAGTGGCTATGTCTATGTGATACACAAGATAGTGAAGATATAGATAGACATAGTGACAAACCAGAGATTTTTTAGAATCAGTTCATTTTAAATTTCCTAATTTACTCAAGATTTTAACCAATTTATTAAATATGATAATGCTGGTATCCATGATACTTTTCTGGTCTACTTATAGGGTAAACGCGGTATATTCCGACATCGTAGGTAATTCCGTCACCTCTCCAGCTTTTCCTTTATATTAAGCTTTGTTTTAGTTCCATGCATTCATTGATGGTTGAAATGGTGACGTCATACATTTGCGTGTCGAAATACTGCAAAAACACTAGGTCTTGGCCATCCAGTGGGAAAATATTGAGATCCAAAGAGAGACAATGCATGCCACGTGGTGAGATCATCATTCTAAAGGCTTTTTAATAAATATGGCAACATTTTGTGACGTTTCATCGTTGCTGACGCGTAGTGAAGTGTTTTGAGAGTCATGTGAAGGCAACAGAACTTGCGTAACGCATACGGTTTTTTTTTTAGTTTTTCATTTCTCGATGCGTCCTTAATGTGTCGGAATATACCGCGTTTACCCTAGGACTAAAAAATGAACTCAAGGGAGTCTAAAAAAAACCCTGCTTTGCCTCTATGTAATCTGCAGATAGTGACATGACATAGGCTAATTGACATTAGTGACTAGTGAGATACTCAAAGTTAAAGTTATTGATCTATTAAAATAAAAGGACTCAGAAACTCAGAAAGACACTTGAGAAATGACAACTGAGAAGCAACAAAAACTTTTTTCCTGCCATTACAAATCATGTACAAAGTTCAAGACTTCAAGTTGTTCACTTGTGGTCCAGTTTTGTTCATAAAATGGTTCTCTTGTACTGAAGGCTGGGCCTGGCTGTGGCTGGCTACTGAGTGCTAACAGCAACAAGTAGGTTAACAACATAATTGCTGTGGAGTGTGGACTGAGTGTGCCAGTGTCAGTGTGGAGACACTGGAGAATGAAGACATAACATTAACTGTTAATGATTAACACTTAAGTGATATTGATAAATTTTACATTGGCCGTGATTGAATAACCTCCAGGCTCCAAGTTATAATACTAGCTCTCATAAAATCGTTAACCATACCAAAGTGCAGATGTCACATGAGTGACATGACTCACATCATTACATCAATGACATCATCATGTAGCTAGCATAGCAAGTAAGCAAGATGTGGGCTAAATCATGTAATGGGGTCCGTCGTCCGTGACCGTCCGTCTCTCCGACGTGCATTGTCACTCCCTTTGTAATAGCCCTTAGCCAGCGGCCCAGCACGAATGGGCCTGAGTCCTGTCTGCCCTGACTCCTGACGGTAACCTCACTAACCTGACCCTTGCTTATCTATATTGAACTCAGTTAGGCTCAGAAGATGAAGTGCAACCTGCCAACGGCGCGTCGTAACTGCCCTGCGTAACCTATCCAAATTTGGGTTCTTCGTCATTAAATATTTCTTCTGTTACTGTTATATTGTTCAGTGTTACGTTTATAAGCACTTTAAAGTAACTATTATTCCAAGTAACTGGGCATTTCTTGAGTAAAGCTTAGATAGCCCAACTTCCCAAGTTTATTCGATCCTTGATCCCTCAACAGGCCGCATGGAAGAAGTGGGTTCTGGGACAATGTCAACCTGGCACCCGCCCCAGAATAGAAACCGTCATACTCACTGTAAGCGTTCATTGTTCCCACAACCACTCTTAATTTTTGGATTTTTCTATGAAGGAGTTGTCTACTTGTCAACTTGTTTCAGTATTGCGGAGAATTGTTCTTCATCATGTTGGCTCATTGGAAATAATAAATAGTCGTGAGATTTGATAAGTCGTTAATTGGCGACGCGAAAGAAAAAGACGCCACAACACTTCATTATTGTTGATAATATTTTTTTAACAGCGCAACTATAGGTTGAGTCAACTTGCGCAGCAGAATTGACTCTTAAACTGCCTCCGGGCTCCGGTAGCCGTGAAACAACTTAACCTGAACAGCTTATTTGGCCTCCAACTCGCAGACTGCTCTAGAAATTCGAAACAACTTACGCCATGCCAGTTCCAAACTGCAGGTAACACTCATAGAGCTGTAAGTCCACCGCCACTGCCAAATCAAGTCCCTCGTCAAGGATTTGCAACCACAGCATTGTCCAACCATGGCATTGCCAAACCTATACACTCGTCCTGACTCCCACCTTGCGTGCAGCCAATGAGGATAGTTTAGGTTCGGTTATGTTTGTTTGGGTGGAGATTCGGGGTAAGTGTTGAGGTAGACCCATTATGGGGACATCAACGAAGAAAAAAACTGACTATTCGAGGCGCCATTGCTTGAAGCACTTAACTTCATAGATTGCTAAATCCTATAGCATGATTGGGCTCGAAAATGAGTTTATGAAAATGAGTGCTTCATTGGTTTTGCCGTGATTGCGAAAAACCAACTCTTGGTGCTCGAAAAAGAGAGGAGTTGGTGGAAGAGCACGGCAATGAGTCGAAATTGTTGAATGATGTAGTAAACTCCTTGAGTGAGATGGTGCGCTCGCTGAGTGACAAACTGAGCTTGCTATGCAATGAGCTGAAACAAGGCACGAAATGGAAAAGAATCGGCGACAGGCCACATCAGGCCTACACTTCAGAGCCGACATCACTATGTTATGTTATGTTATGTTAAAAGTCGTGGTGATCGTAGGCTGTAATGGCATCCCGCTATTTCCGTTGAATACTGCACTATTTGCTGGTCTATTAAGCAACAGCGCTTCATAAATGTTTCTAATTATTATTTTTTCGTCCAATACAGGACCGATCGCTAGACAAGGTTATCAGCAACCTGCCTAAAAGCTTCGACTTCACCGTGTTGTTTATTCGGTAACTATTGTTTACTTGGTAACTGAAACTAACATTTCATCACTATAACTAACATTTCATCTTTGAGAAATTTCATTTTGCAATTCACCATAAAATTTCATCATCGTATTAAGTGCATTTTGCAAACATGAGTGCATCTACCGTAGGTTAGATTAAATTGGTAAAGGATGGCACGATGAAATTTCCCAATGATGAAAGGCGTCAATGCTGAATTGCACCAATGATGAAATCCGATAATGATGAAATGTGTCAATGAATAAATGTTTCAGGACTACCATGAGGTTCCAGGAAACCAGTGCGGCGGTTACTTCATCAGGACGCGCCGCTCTCTCATGGTTGAACTAGTAGAATATTAGTTCAACCATGCCGCTCTCTGAAGTGGCGTGCCTTCTTCGTTCTGATCGCTTCCAGCCTCCAGGCTGCACTCGAGCTGATCGATGTGAGGCTCCGTTGTCGCTTCAGTAGTTTTGATGAGGCCTTAGTGAGTCAGATTTTGTTATTTATTCGCTACATGGCTTTGCTTTGTTATTCATATTTCTATTATTATGATATTGATGAACTTAGTGGCATCGCTACATTCTCATAATTTTATAGTAGCATTCTTATACAGGGTGCGGCGTGGGAACTTACTCTTTTAAAAAAATCACAAAGTAAAAAGTATTAAAGATAGCGTTTTAATTCTTTCTTTTTTACAACTCTCGACCACTGCATGGTCGCAACTGA